CGAAACAAGTTAAACGAGGCAGTTTGGTTGCCTGAAAAGACTTTAATTAAGCCACCAATGCCAAAATGCACTTGCTCGTGTTTGCGTGCCCCTCAGAGACCTTAGAGCCTAATGAGTACCCACATGGGGCTTCAGTTATAAATAAAGAGCACAAACTTTGCCCAGTCAGCTTGTCAGTGTTGGTCTTGTTAAGTGAAATGGAGTGTATGTAGGTTATTCCTCTCAGCTGCAAATAATTCTGTGGGTGCGATAGCTAGTTCGCAGTAAAACAAATGGTTATAGTGCTGGTAATATGCTACAGATTCATGCATAATAAATGGAGGGGAGAAAAGGGAGATTTTGGCATGATCCATCCACATCCACATTACTAGTCAGCGCATTTCTGTGGTGGCAGGCTGCAGCAGGATTTTGCATGCTGCCAATGTCGCATCTGCAATGAAAGCATGCTTCTTTGTTTTTCTTTATCTCAGCGTGGCGCCATTACTTCCCAACCCTCATCTACATTCATTACAGTTCCGCTAATACAGTTCTTCTCTTTAAGATGATTCTCCATTTCTCCATTTTCTGTCTCCCTTCACTCTGTCTCTGTTTATTTATTCCTTTGCCTGGCAGGCTTACTCTTCATTAATCTAATGCAGTTTGCTTACACTCATTCAACTCTCTGCTTCAGCAGTCCTGTAGTGTAAAGCTGTCAGGGCCTTTTTGGCTGGCCCCTATGTGATCCCATAAAAAGAAAAAATTGTAATGTTCCTGCTCTTAACATAAAAAGCAAATAAATAAATAAACAAATACATACTAATCTTTACTCTTATCAGTACTCTTCCATCCTGTATTTTTTGTCATCCACTGAGTCTTATTAACGGACATTTTTCTAATGTTTATTTGGTGTCTTTCTCAAGTAACAAATAGAGAAATTTGGTCAAGATCTTATTACCGTATTTTCCGGCGTAGACGTCGCTCCGCCCTATAAGTCCCATCAGTCCATATTTGTCTAATAAAGTAGAAAAATCCATAAATATGTTGCTTTGCCATATACGTCGCATCTATTATGCATCACTGCTGACGTGTCGCATTTGTTACGCGTCACCACTGATAACACGAAAATGTGGGCCGAACCCAGAAATGCGGACCAGTGTTGTGCCAAAGACCGATGGGTTGCCAAATTGCGGCCATGGGAGCATGCACGGGAGGACTTTAACGAGAATTTAACTAGATTAACACTTAAAAACAATTATTTGTTTGCTCGAAATTATAGTAAAGGCGTGTCTCAGTCTAACGTTTGCTTAATACATGCATTTTGATGGTCAAATCAGCTGTATTTCAAAACTTGATATGCAGAAGTAAACGCGTGCACGCGACGAGTTGCTGTGCAAATTTAACAAGATAAACACCTCAAAACAATTATTTGTTGGCTTGAAATTATAGCAAAGTTGTGTCTCAGTCTACCATTTGCTTAATAAATGCACTTTAATGGTCAAATTAGCTGCATTTTGCCAAAGCGGTGCAGCTGTTTTGATGGTTCCAAGCAACGAGCAGAATGAAGGTGGGGAGAACATGGCAGGCCGATTGAGTCATTAATAGCTGGTGAAGATTCTCAGTCATCCAGGACATGGTAAATTAAAAAAGGTTCAATAAATAACAAGAAATTATAAAGTACAATAAAGTCCAGTTGTTTTTGTCTTGAATTTTTTTGAATTTGTCATTATAGCCACGTTTACTTATTATATGATATAACAGCATGCTATATACCTATTACTATTCTGCTGCCATCAAGTGGCTGAAAGTGGTACTGCTCTTTGTTTTGTTTTGTTTTCAGTCAGAATGAATGAAAATGGTCATATCTCAGCCAAAAATGGTTTATAAATATGGGAAAAAATCCATAAATATGTTGTTTCAGCCTATAAGTCGCAGGGCATGTAAATTATGCAGAAAACTGTGAATTATAGGTCGAAAAATACGGTATTTGTTTTTCTTTTTGAGGACATTAAACAGCTAATAGCACAGTAAAAAAATCTTTAAATCTACCTAGAAACAAGTGTTAGCGCAGTGTGTTGTTTAAGCAGGCTGTAAAGCTTTTAAAAATCTAGAAAACTTAAAATAGCAAAACTCCACTTGACGCTGAAACTTTTATTGATTATCATAGTGCATGCAGCCGTTTTGGGTTTTATATTCTGTTTGACTTTGGGAAATGTCTTTAATGTGAAATTAAGCCAAGGACTTATTATAGTTTCCAGATCAGGTTTTACTTGAAGCTATCTTTTTATGTGCACTTAAATACATGTTTGTGGGTGTGTGCATACTTTATGTGCATGCAGAACATCTCCTTGGGTTATTAATAACCAAATTCATTTGGTCGCACACAAGGCTTCTTCTTGCACTCTGGTACGAATTGTAAAACACAGGTTCTTAAATTGCAATAGTGTCCTTTAATTTATTGCTGTGTGAGCACTCGGTGATGCAGAGTTTGAGCCAAAGAGACAAAAACACAAAAGTCTTTTTTGTTATAGCCTTCTACTTTAATCAGTGCATTAAGTATTAAGTATTGGTGTTATAATAATCAATGCAAATTAGAAGGGCAATCATTTAGAGTTACTGTATCTCACTATGACACAAGATGATTTACTCATATTTGATTTGGAGAAGGATTTATGTATTTGTATGTTTATGTGTAATTATTACTTTACTTGCTATTTTATTGTATTTTTTTTTCCCTTTTCTGGATTTTTCTTTATAGTACAACTTAATTTCAAAAATATTGGGTTGAATTGTAAAATGTAAATTACAATGCAATGATTTGCAAACCTCATGAATCCATGTTTTATTTACAACAAAACATAAACATGTCAAACGTTGCAAGAAATTGCTCCATTCTTCTTAGGGGGGGAATGTAATATTTTAATATTTTATCATCTCAAAAATGGTAAAACGGGCACAACAAAAGACTGGAAAAGTGAGTGGTAAAAAGAAGAAACTGATGAAAGAGCATTTTGCAACTATTTAGGTTAACTAGAAACAGGTGCATAAGACAGTTTAAAAAAATTTGTTAATATATATATTTTTTATCTCTGTTAGTTTAATTTTATTTGAAATGGGGCTGTGATAGCTTGTTGGTCAGTGCCACAGTCTTGTAATCCTAAACCAGTGGGTTTAACCCAGGTTGTTTAAAACACTTGCCAATTTTTTTGTGCAAGCTGGCTCTCAGTGGCAACCTCTGCAAAAATGAAAAAAAAAAAAAAATACTTTTCATTCAGTCTACTTTACTAACAGGCCCAATTCTTCTCAACATGGAAATCTTTGGTGTTGTGACATTTTTCTCTTGAAGGTATTGTGAAGTTTTTTACTGAATTAAAACCATGTGGAATATTTGAGCCAAGTCTTAGTTTTCACTATTTTTTAATTACTTTTTAAATCATGGAGTGATTTTGGAAGTTTGCTTTAAAAGTCTTGCATTCTGGAAATGTCCCCTCTCTCAAATTTATGGAATCTCAAAACCATCTTCAGTTCAATATTTGTGATATTTTGACGGCAGTGTAATCTATAAGCGTCATCTTCTCCAGCACGTCTTGCTTTAACTGTTTGTCAAGACTCCTTCATTCATTCACTGTTCTTTTGGTCAAAGTCACACACAGACCAGATGTTGAGCTCATTTTAATCATAAAAATGAACTCCCTATAACAGCATCCAGTTTAAACAAGCGCTTAATCTTAAAGTTTTATGACGAAGAACAATCAAAGTTTTATTTTCCCTGAATGCATCACATAAAGCGTGAAATTATGCAACATCCTTTACCGTATGAGTGGTCACAGAAAGTCCAATTTCTATCAGTTAGTTCAATGTCAAGCCTGAGGCTCTTGCAGGTTGAGTTTCCAGGACCTTTTTGTAATTTAGGAAGATAACGCTGCTGCTTTGATCCTGTACTTTGACTTGTTCTCCCAATTACTGCCACATCTAAAGGAAGCTCTCACAGGTTTTAAGATTTTGTGACTTGTAAATGTGAAAAAGAACTTATTTGTCACGCTTCAATATTTATTTCTTTCCTATAAATTCTCATCAATTATTTTTGTATTTACAACCCATAGGGTCAAACGTAAGAATACGGTACTTGTGTCTTCGCATGTTATTTTTATTCATGTTATTAGATTTTAGCCTATTAGAAATAATAAAATACTCACAATTATGTTTCGATATTTACAGACTGTGTCAAAAATCACATTCATTTACTTTGGCAGCATTATGTTTCTGATTTGGCAGAGATTTAAGACAGTCTTCTTCTTTTTTTTTTTCCAATTTAGTGACATGACAGAAATCAACTCATCACCATGATACAATATGCTCTGTAACATATCTTCTATACCACTTACAATAACTTGACTTAGTTGAACTGCACAGTTTTACAGTATAGAAAATGACAATTAATGTACATCCCCTTCTAAAGCTAATCAAATGCATTTTAAGATCAGTTATATGGTAAACATTCACAGATGATTAAGCTTAGATTGATATTCAAGTAAAAATAGTAATCATTACTGTTTGAGACCTTTTGGTTCATTTGCTCAGTTGAAGTTTTAGAGTGCCTTTTTATTTAAAGATGTTCCAACAAGAATGACACAAAAAGCAAACCATGTGGCCCACGGGGGTTTGTTCTGCAGCAAAGCTGTGAAGACTGAAACTCCTTTGCTAGTACACTTCTACTATAGCTGCTACTATCGAGCATGAAGAGTGGGCAGTCTGGTTAAAAGCACAGAGGAAGACCAGAAATAGTAGAGCGTAGGAGAGAAGCTCCAACAATAGCCACCGCTGTACAGATGCATTCACCATGAAGTGAGGGTGTGATTCAGCCTCTGTGCTTAATACAGTAAATGGCTTGTGTAATGTGTAGGGTCTGATGTGTAATGGCCTCTCATGTTGACAGAGTAACACATTTGTCATCTTCCTGACAGAAAGTACAAGGTCAAATTACAGCTGTATCAGCACACCAGGATATTTTGTGACTAAAACAGGTTTTGGCATCTCCTTCAGCTGACGTACCTGCCTCCACCATGGGGAGACTGCAAGTCTACATCGATGGACTCGGACTTCTTCAGCACTTACAGCCTCACAGCCTGCAGGATCGACTGCGAGACCCGATACCTGGTGGAGAACTGCAACTGCAGGATGGTTCACATGCCTGGTATCCCACTGCTGCACGCAGACACACTGTCTCTGCACTCATGTAACAGTGACGTGCTGAATTGGCTGGTAGTTCAATGTCATTGGAAATCCATTCACGTGAGGTGGTGGTCGCAGTACGGCTCGAGGAACAAGCAGCTTTTTGGCAACGACTTCAGAAAATCAGATACTTTCACACTCCAGTGAATCGGAAAACTCTGCCACTTTCACTTTGTGTTTGTGCTGTGATTAAAGCTGGCGTTCACTGTCTGCCTCTTCCATTTAATCACTGTGTAGGATCTCAGATGGCAAATTGAAAAGGGGTTTGGCACAGAGGAAACATTTAGGTCTGGTCTTGGTTAACTCACGTTTACCTGCCATCTTAAATGTCTCGGTCCTCTGACACCCTGACAATCTATCCATGTGATAATCAGGATTATATGCTTGGTGTGTTGATGATTATTGTGAATCGCACAGTTCAAACTCTGTGTGCCATGTTGCGCTTTGGTCCTGTTCTTCTCTCCATCTTCCTGTCATTACAGTGATTTTTAAAGAAAATCTTGTGAATTATTGCAGCAAGGAAGTAATTTCCTCTCTGTCCATGGCAGGCCTTTATCCAACACTGTCTTGATAGATTAGAAAAGATGGCTCAGCTGCCAGAGGGAGACGTTTGGATGCAAGGTTCTTTAAGTAGTGATGAATGAAGTCATTTATGAGATCAGATCAAAATGATGAAGAATATCCAGCTGTAATAAGAACAGTAATGACAGTCTAATTTTAAGGCCTAGATTTTGGTGCCTTCTCCTTATATTTGGACTCCTCTTCTTGCCTTGATCCCTTTATTTCCACACTGAGCTCATTGGCTTTCTGCTTCCTGTCCCTAGGAGATGCCCCATACTGCACCCCGGAGCAGTACAAGGAGTGTGCAGATCCTGCCTTAGGTAAGGAGATAACCCAGCATGCTGCTTGTGTGTGTTTACTCTCTTGGTGTATATGTCCCACTGTTCAGAGCTCCTGATCCAGGTTGATAACAGATAATAGTGTTCTTTCAGAATGATGGCAGTACTGAGGCTCTTCTTTTCACACACCACCTCTCTCTCCATCTGTGAAAACCTTTCAGGTCCTTTCATGTGCGCTGCTTGTTTTCTTACCGACTTGCAATCTGTCACTCTTCCGTGACACTGTCTCATGTGTTTGCTTCTGGCTGCTGCTGTCCCTTTGACTCTGTCAGCATGTGTTTTTGATTATTTTTTTATTCCTTCTAAAGGTCTCTGAGGTCGCTCCGTGGCATCTTCTCTTTGACGCCTCTCACACCGCTGACATTTTGTTTGTCATTCTTCCGATGACCATAAATTAATCTGCCTCTGCATCTTCTCTTTTTCAATCTCTGTATCTTTGCCTTCTTCTTCTCTTTCTGTCTGTCATCCCAATTTCTCAGACTTTCTTGTTGAGAAAGACAACGATTACTGTGTGTGTGAAACGCCATGCAACTTGACTCGGTACGGTAAAGAGCTGTCCTTTGTCAAGATACCCAGCAAGGCGTCGGCCAAGTATCTTGCCAAGAAATTCAACAAGACGGAGCAGTACATTGCGTAAGTCATGTTTTTGTGTCGTATAAACCCAGTGATTAGTTTGATTACTTTCTCATATTGCCCATGAGTATATTCTGTTTTCCCTAATATCATGTTGATAATATTCTTGGGAGTGGTGGTGCAGAGGTTAGAGAAGGTGGTCCTGTGATCAGAAGATCGCTGGTTTAACTTGCGGTACCGACAACATCAAAATGTGGGTGGAAAAGGTGAAACACCCACACCTGTCTCCAGCCTCATTTGCCCCACTCTGGGCCTTTGAGCAAGGCCCTTAACCCCCACTATCTGCTCCTGCGGGCACCCTAGATAGGAGCTCTCTGCTCCACACAGAGGGCTGTGGTAGCTCAGTGGTCTGTGATTGTGTCAGGAAGGACATCTGGCGTAAAAATATTTGCCACGTCTTCGTGCGACTTAGTTCACTGTGGCGACCCCTGAAGAAGAGCGAAGCCAAAAGAAGAAAAAAATGTTGATAATATTCAGGCATGTATCTGCTGCTGACCAAGAAACTACAGTAGTCCCTCATTTATCACAGGGTTTAGGAGACCACGCCCCCCGTGAGAAGTTAAAAACCGTAAAGTAGGGATACAGTAGTCCAAGTTGAGGTTTCACTCCCAATCTCCCTCCTTCTGTGTAAATAAATTATTTAAATTTAAATTTATTATTTTGAATAAACAATCCATGCAGCATGGATTGGTTATTTGAAATATTACAGTACTTACATTTAAATTGTAGAGAAGAGAAGCAGGACATCAAAGCTCAAATGTACTTTGTGATCAATTACACTGGAAGAACTGAACATAGAAGTTCTAAAATAATTAAAAAATAACTTTTAATACTTTTGTATTTTGTGATTATGACGATTTTATAATGTGACATAATTTGAATTTTAACACAATTCAATCAGAGCATCTGGACAGCAAAGGGTTAACCCTTCACAAAGCTGCTTCAGCAGGAGCAGAGGTGTGTGGGTGGCAGAGAGAGGGAGCTTCTCCCTGCACCTGTGGGCTGCACACAGGTGCTAAATCATTTAAAATAATTGATTTTAAATAAACAATCCATGCCGCTCGTGTGGCTCATCCATCAATCAGCCAGTTGTGTGTCATGTCCACTCTTACTTTGAAAAACTGCGAAAGAGCGAATACAGGAAAGTCGAACTGCGAGTAGCGAGGGACTAATGTACTTCCAATAATGTAGCAAAAAATGTCACTAGTGTTAGATAAAATTTATTTATGTTGATTTTTTAATTGATTTTCTGTTGAACAGTTAATCAATCCTAAATACCTTATTAGCCGTGACGTTGGTTACAGGTCACAGAGTATGGACAAAGAGGCAAAAGTTTCAATCCATAGGTTAATGTCTAAACATACGAGTGCTAGTTTTTTTTACTGTTTGTTAAGCTTATAAGACAACTCTATAAAAATCAAAATAAAAAACAACAACATCCCAGTGCAAAAGAACACTTCATTAGTTAATATTCAACTTTCACATTTTTTCATGACAAGGTTTACAATATCTGTCTGCCAGGAGTTGAGTAAACTTTTAGATTGACTAATCACATTGATCAGACATGTACATTTACAGCATCAGCAACTAATATGGTCTATTTCAGAGAGTCTTTATTCAGAGCATTCATGTTCTAACATTGACACTGAGTCGAGAAAAAAAAACTGTCTTTCTTACATCATGGTTGGTAGTGTAAGGCTTTTGATAAGTTATTTTTCTAACATATACTTTAAAATAACAAGTTGTATTTTCCGATTGTAAATCATTTATTAGAAATTAAAATTTAAAAAGTCATACATGGTTGTTTTTTTGTTTATTTATTTATGTATTACAAGTTAAAGATAAGCATAAATTAACTTGAGGGATACTTAAAGGAATAAGACATAAAGTCAGTCTTCTTACATTTAGTTAATATTTTCAGTGTGTTAAGCAGTTCTTCAGGGTTAGTTTTAATCTGAAGGTGAAAGCAGACTAGTGGAAAAACCCAGCACAAGATTTGAATGCTATCAATGCAGGAGATAAGAAAATGAGTTTCTGATGCTCATCATCTGGATAAAAGGAAATAAAATCATCTTTAATGAGTTTTGACAGAGTCAGTCCACCTTCAGGCAGATTGTGCACATATGAAAGACTTATAGGATCAATGATTGACTCCCAAACATCATCATTAACAGGATGTGCAATATTCTGACAGATCAAAAACTCTTGGTTACTTCTAAACAACTCGAGATCTCTCTCATGATGGAAACTTTGATGAGCCCAAAATCAAAACAGCACGGAGCAACAACAATATCCAGTACTGATCTGCGAAGAAAAATGATTTTCCCATTTCCAAAATAACTCAAATTTATGCTTGAAAGAGAGACAACAAAAAACAGCGTTTCAAGAACCCTTGAAAAAAGTCTCAGAACATTTGTTTGTTTTCTAAACCTCATTGAGTAGATCACGCAAAACAGTAGTTGCTCTACCAAAAATGCACCATAAAAACATTACTTTGCAAATAAAGAGCCTTGATAAAACTTGCTGTGACCCAACTTTGGAATAAGTGGAAGAGGATGAATGGATGGATGGATGGATGGATGGATGGATGGATGGATGGATGGATG